CCACTGGTGTTACGAGAACAGCTGAGGCGCGGCCCAAAAGCTCTACACAAACCCAAGTATAGTTATTTAAGAAGGGAAAACAGTAAGAATTAATGTAATAAGACTGAGGAAACAATAGATGTATAAGGCGCTCAACAAGAGCTCTCACAGGGGAGGTACTCACAGAGACATCAAGAAGAAGAGAGGCGCTCAACAAGAGCTCTCACAAGGGCGGTACTCACAGAGACAGCAACGAGAAGAGAGGCGCTCAACAAGAGCTCTCACAAGGGAGGTACTCACAGAGACAGCAACAAGAAGAGAGGCGCTCAACAAGAGCTCTCACAAGGGCGGTACTCACAGAGACAGTAACAAGAAGAGAGGCGCTCAACAAGAGCTCTCACAAGGGAGGTACTCACAGAGACATCAACAAGAAGAGAGGCGCTCAACAAGAGCTCTCACAAGGGAGGTACTCACAGAGACAGCAACAAGAAGAGAGGCGCTCAACAAGAGCTCTCACAAGGGAGGTACTCACAGAGACAGCAACAAGAAGAGAGGCGCTCAACAAGAGCTCTCACAAGGGCGGTACTCACAGAGACAGCAACAAGAAGAGAGGCGCTCAACAAGAGCTCTCACAAGGGAGGTACTCACAGAGACATCAACAAGAAGAGAGGCGCTCAACAAGAGCTCTCACAAGGGAGGTACTCACAGAGACAGCAACAAGAAGAGAGGCGCTCAACAAGAGCTCTCACAAGGGAGGTACTCACAGAGACAGCAACAAGAAGAGAGGCGCTCAACAAGAGCTCTCACAAGGGCGGTACTCACAGAGACAGCAACAAGAAGAGAGGCGCTCAACAAGAGCTCTCACAAGGGAGGTACTCACAGAGACAGCAACAAGAAGAGAGGCGCTCAACAAGAGCTCTCACAAGGGAGGTACTCACAGAGACAGCAACAAGAAGAGAGGCGCTCAACAAGAGCTCCCACAAGGGAGGTACTCACAGAGACAGCAACAAGAAGAGAGGCGCTCAACAAGAGCTCCCACAAGGGAGGTACTCACAGAGACAGCAACAAGAAGAGAGGCGCTCAACAAGAGCTCCCACAAGGGAGGTACTCACAGAGACAGCAACAAGAAGAGAGGCGCTCAACAAGAGCTCCCACAAGGGAGGTACTTACAGAGACAGCAACAAGAAGAGAGGCGCTCAACAAGAGCTCGCACAAGGGAGGTACTCACAGAGACATCAACAAAAAGAGAGGCGCTCAACAAGAGCTCTCACAAGGGAGGTACTCACAGAGACAGCAACAAGAAGAGAGGCGCTCAACAAGAGCTCTCACAAGGGCGGTACTTACAGAGACAGCAACAAGAAGAGAGGCGCTCAACAAGAGCTCTCACAAGGGAGGTACTCACAGAGACAGCAACAAGAAGAGAGGCGCTCAACAAGAGCTCTCACAAGGGAGGTACTCACAGAGACAGCAACAAGAAGAGAGGCGCTCAACAAGAGCTCCCACAAGGGAGGTACTTACAGAGACAGCAACAAGAAGAGAGGCGCTCAACAAGAGCTCGCACAAGGGAGGTACTCACAGAGACATCAACAAAAAGAGAGGCGCTCAACAAGAGCTCCCACAAGGGAGGTACTTACAGAGACAGCAACAAGAAGAGAGGCGCTCAACAAGAGCTCGCACAAGGGAGGTACTCACAGAGACATCAACAAAAAGAGAGGCGCTCAACAAGAGCTCTCACAAGGGAGGTACTCACAGAGACAGCAACAAGAAGAGAGGCGCTCAACAAGAGCTCTCACAAGGGCGGTACTTACAGAGACAGCAACAAGAAGAGAGGCGCTCAACAAGAGCTCCCACAAGGGAGGTACTCACAGAGACATCAACAAGAAGAGAGGCGCTCAACAAGAGCTCTCACAGGGGAGGTACTCACAGAGACAGCAACAAGAAGAGAGGCGCTCAACAAGAGCTCTCACAAGGGAGGTACTCACAGAGACATCAACAAGAAGAGAGGCGCTCAACAAGAGCTCCCACAAGGGAGGTACTCATAGAGACATCAACAAGAAGAGAGGCGCTCAACAAGAGCTCCCACAAGGGCGGTACTCACAGAGACTTCAACAAGAAGAGAGGCGCTCCACAAGAGCTCCCACAAGGGAGGTACTCACAGAGACAGCAACAAGAAGACAGGCGCTCCACAAGAGCTCCCACAAGGGCGGTACTCACAGAGACATCAACAAGAAGAGAGGCGCTCAACAAGAGCTCTCACAAGGGAGGTACTCACAGAGACATCAACAAGAGAGGCGCTCAACAAGAGCTCCCACAAGGGCGGTACTCACAGAGACATCAACAAGAAGAGAGGCGCTCAACAAGAGCTCCCACAAGGGCGGTACTCACAGAGACATCAACAAGAAGAGAGGCGCTCAACAAGAGCTCCCACAAGGGCGGTACTCACAGAGACATCAACAAGAGAGGCGCTCAACAAGAGCATGTACCAGAGTGGTCAAACAACAAGGAGAGAGACAAAAGATAATAAGAAGCAACATTGATGATACAGTGGTCAGGGAAGACGAGCAAGACAACTCCTGGATCACTGGAGCATGAGTGACCACCAGCTTGAGCATGGGTCACTGGAGCATGAGTGACCACCAGCTTGAGCATGGGTCACTGGAGCATGAGTGACCACCAGCTTGAGCATGGGTCACTGGAGCATGAGTGACCACCAGCTTGAGCATGGGTCACTGGAGCATGAGTGACCACCAGCTTGAGCATGGGTCACTGGAGCATGAGTGACCACCAGCTTGAGCATGGGTCACTGGAGCATGAGTGACCACCAGCTTGAGCATGGGTCACTGGAGCATGAGTGACCACCAGCTTGAGCATGGGTCACTGGAGCATGAGTGACCACCAGCTTGAGCATGGGTCACTGGAGCATGAGTGACCACCAGCTTGAGCATGGTTCACTGGAGCATGAGTGACCACCAGCTTGAGCATGGGTCACTGGAGCATGAGTGACCACCAGCTTGAGCATGGGTCACTGGAGCATGAGTGACCACCAGCTTGAGCATGGGTCACTGGAGCATGAGTGACCACCAGCTTGAGCATGGGTCACTGGAGCATGAGTGACCACCAGCTTGAGCATGGGTCACTGGAGCATGAGTGACCACCAGCTTGAGCATGGGTCACTGGAGCATGAGTGACCACCAGCTTGAGCATGGGTCACTGGAGCATGAGTGACCACCAGCTTGAGCATGGGTCACTGGAGCATGAGTGACCACCAGCTTGAGCATGGGTCACTGGAGCATGAGTGACCACCAGCTTGAGCATGGGTCACTGGAGCATGAGTGACCACCAGCTTGAGCATGGGTCACTGGAGCACGAGTGACCACCAGCTTGAGCATGGGTCACTGGAGCATGAGTGACCACCAGCTTGAGCATGGGTCACTAGAGCATGAGTGACCACCAGCTTGAGCATGGGTCACTGGAGCATGAGTGACCACCAGCCTGAACATGGATCACTGGAGCATGAGTGACCACCAGCTTGAGCATGGGTCACTGGAGCATGAGTGACCACCAGCTTGAGCATGGGTCACTGGAGCATGAGTGACCACCAGCTTGAGCATGGGTCACTGGAGCATGAGTGACCACCAGCTTGAGCATGGGTCACTGGAGCATGATTTGACCACCAGCTTGAGCATGGGTCACTAGAGCATGAGTGACCACCAGCTTGAGCATAGGGCACTAGAGCATGAGTGACCACCAGCTTGAGCATGGGTCACGGGAGCATGAGTGACCACCAGTTTAAGCATGGGTCACTAGAGCATGAGTGACCACCAGCTTGAGCATGGGTCACTAGAGCATGAGTGACCACCAGCTTGAGCATGAGTGACCACCAGCTTGAGCATGGATCACTGGAGCATGAGTGACCACCAGCTTGAGCATGGGTCACTAGAGCATGAGTGACCACCAGCTTGAGCATGGGTCAGTGGAGCATGAGTGACCATCAGCTTGAGCATGGGTCACTGGAGCATGAGTGACCACCAGCTTGACCATGGGTCACTGGAGCATGAGTGACCACCAGTTTGAGCATGGGTCACTGGAGCATGAGTGACCACCAGTTTGAGCATGGGGTCACTGGAGCATGAGTGACCACCAGCTTGAGCATGAGTCACTGGAGCATGAGTGACCACCAGCTTGAGCATGAGTCACTGGAGCATGAGTGACCACCAGCTTGAGCATGGGTCACTGGAGCATGAGTGACCACCAGTTTGAGCATGGGTCACTGGAGCATGAGTGACCACCAGTTTGAGCATGGGGTCACTGGAGCATGAGTGACCACCAGCTTGAGCATGAGTCACTGGAGCATGAGTGTCTAGTGAAGTCTAGTGTCTTGTACAAACGACACGAAGTCTAAGAGTGGAGACCCAGCTAGGTGCTGAGCATCTCCTGAGCCAGGGAGTGCAAGAGGGAGGTGGGTAAATACTGGTAGCCGAAGGTGACATAATGAGAAATGCTGAAGGTAATGGTAGGGTTGGGAAGAGTGGAATGAGTGAATGAGTAGCCTCATATTTTATGCACCCAGTCTTTTCCTCTGACTCACTTTACCATGTTTCCGATAAATATCTCATGATTTCTCTGTCATGGGTTTTTTATAACTATAATCATGGTGATTCACCTGGCAGAGTTCGCTGTAAACCACCGCTGTAAACCTCTCTTTTGTGGGTTTACAGTCTACCAGAATGCTTCACACCCCCCTATACCTTGTGAAGAGCGAAAATATACAGATGAAGAAATTCCTCCTGGGAACATGCTCTTTGCTGGAAGACCTTAACTGTCGCTTGGCTCCATACCTGTCATTGGAAACATCTTAACTATCAGAAGACAGGCAACACCTGTCAGAAGACTACCAGAAGACAGGCATCACCTTAACCAACAGAAGATTGCTGTGTTGTTGGCAGAGTTCTCAGGGAACCCTGACCAACCTTTGAGGGACCGAACAGCAAGTAGCTAACCTCGACCCGGATTCATATTTCATTTTTATTCTTTAAAATGGTTATGAAACAATGCATATTCTTCTAAGTGTTGTAAAACCTTCAGTTACGGATGTTCAACGTCCTACCAGCGAGCATCAGAAATATTACAGGAACAACCGTGGACATCTTCAAGAGGAAACTAGATTGTTTCCTTCAAGGAGTGCCGGACCAACCGGGCTGTGGTGGGTATGTGGGCCTGCGGGCCGCTCCAAGCAACAGCCTGGTGGACCAAACTCTCACAAATCAAGTCTGGCCCCGGGCCGGGCTTGGGGAGTAGAAGAACTCCCAGAACCCCATCAACCAGGTATCAACCAGGTATCAACCAGGTATCAACCAGGTATCAACCAGGTATCAACCAGGTAACCAGGTACGAGGTCAACTGAGCGCCAAGTTTGAGTCATTGTCAAAAGTCACAAACTGTGATTCTCTCTCAGTGTAAGTTCAAATATACACCGTAGCACCTACATCAAGGTTCCTCCCAACTGGATTTTGAGTTGTTTTATCAACCTTAATGACTTGAAGTGTAGGGGAGTTTGTCGCAGTTGCTCTGGGTTGTGGGAGGCGATATTGGACGCCTGACGCTGTTCTGAAGATGTACCGAGGGTCGGATCTTACGTGGATGTAAATTTTTACGAAATTACAAGATGTCTTAAGCTTCATGGTGGTGGGTGGGGCTGCCACACCCAGCACCATGAAGAGAGACTCACGTGGGTGACAAGGGCGTGGAGAGACTCACGTGGGTGACAAGGGCGTGGAGAGACTCACGGTGGGTGACAAGGGCGTGGAGAGACTCACGGTGGGTGACAAGGGCGTGGAGAGACTCACGGTGGGTGACAAGGGCGTGGAGAGACTCACGTGGGTGACAAGGGCGTGGAGAGACTCACTGTGGGTGACAAGGGCGTGTAGACAGTCACGGTGGGTGACAAGGGCGTGGAGACAGTCACGATGGGTGACAAGGGCGTGGAGAGACTCACGGTGGGTGACAAGGGCGTGGAGACAGTCACGATGGGTGACAAGGGCGTGGAGACAGTCACGGTGGGTGACAAGGGCGTGGAGACAGTCACGATGGGTGACAAGGGCGTGGAGACAGTCACGGTGGGTGACAAGGGCGTGGAGACAGTCACGGTGGGTGACAAGAGTGTGGAGAGACTCACGTGGGTGACAAGGGCGTGGAGAGACTCACTGTGGGTGACAAGAGCGTGGAGACAGTCACGGTGGGTGACAAGGGCGTGGAGACAGTCACGGTGGGTGACAAGGGCGTGTAGACAGTCACGGTGGGTGACAAGGGCGTGGAGACAGTCACGGTGGGTGACAAGGGCGTGGAGACAGTCACGATGGGTGACAAGGGCGTGGAGACAGTCACGGTGGGTGACAAGGGCTTGGAGACAGTCACGGTGGGTGACAAGGGCGTGGAGACAGTCACGGTGGGTGACAAGGGCGTGGAGACAGTCACGGTGGGTGACAAGGGCGTGGAGACAGTCACGGCTGGTGACAAGGGCGTGTAGACAGTCACGGTGGGTGACAAGGGCGTGGAGACAGTCACGGTGGGTGACAAGGGCGTGGAGACAGTCACGATGGGTGACAAGGGCGTGGAGACAGTCACGGTGGGTGACAAGGGCGTGGAGACAGTCACGGTGGGTGACAAGGGCGTGGAGACAGTCACGGTGGGTGACAAGGGCGTGGAGACAGTCACGGTGGGTGACAAGGGCGTGGAGACAGTCACGATGGGTGACAAGGGCGTGGAGACAGTCACGATGGGTGACAAGGGCGTGGAGACAGTCACGGTGGGTGACAAGGGCGTGGAGACAGTCACGGTGGGTGACAAGGGCGTGGAGACAGTCACGGTGGGTGACAAGGGCGTGGAGACAGTCACGGTGGGTGACAAGGGCGTGGAGAGACTCACTGTGGGTGACAAGGACGTGGAGAGACTCATGGTGGGTGACAAGGGCGTGGAGACAGTCACGGTGGGTGACAAGGGCGTGGAGACAGTCACGGTGGGTGACAAGGGCGTGGAGACAGTCACGGTGGGTGACAAGGGCGTGGAGAGACTCACTGTGGGTGACAAGGACGTGGAGAGACTCATGGTGGGTGACAAGGGCGTGGAGACAGTCACGGTGGGTGACAAGGGCGTGGAGACAGTCACGGTGGGTGACAAGGGCGTGGAGACAGTCACGGTGGGTGACAAGGGCGTGGAGACAGTCACGGTGGGTGACAAGGGCGTGGAGACAGTCACGGTGGGTGACAAGGGCGTGGAGACAGTCACGGTGGGTGACAAGGGCGTGGAGACTGTCACGGTGGGTGACAAGGGCGTGGAGATAGTCACGGTGGGTGACAAGGGCGTGGAGACAGTCACGGTGGGTGACAAGGGCGTGGAGACAGTCACGGTGGGTGACAAGGGCGTGGAGACAGTCACGGTGGGTGACAAGAGCGTGGAGACAGTCACGGTGGGTGACAAGGGCGTGGAGACAGTCACGGTGGGTGACAAGGGCGTGGAGACAGT